AAAGTGCTCTACCAAGGTTACAAAAGTGCGCTATCAAGGTTACAAAAGTGCTCTACCAAGGTTACAAAAGTGCGCTATCAAGGTTACAAAAGTGCTCTATCAAGGTTACAAAAGTGCTCTACCAAGGTTACAAAACTGCCCTATCAAGGTTACAAAAGTGCGTTATAAAGGTTACAAAACTGCCGTATCAAGGTCAGAAAAGTGCTCTATCAAGGTAACAAAAGTGCCCTATCAAAGTTACAAAAGTGATCTATCAAGGTTACAAAACTGGCCTATCAAGCTTACAAAAGTGCTCTATCAAGGTTACAAAAGTGCCCTATCAAGCTTACAAAAGTGCTCTATCAAGCTTACAAAAGGGCTCTATCAAGGTTACAAAAGTGCTCTATCAAGGTTATACAAAAGTGCGCTATCAAGGTTACAAAAGTGCGCTATCAAGGTTACAAAAGTGCCCTATCAAGGTTACAAAAGTGCCCTATCAAGGTTACAAAAGTGCCCTATCAAGGTTACAAAAGTGCCCTATCAAGGTTACAAAAGTGCTCTATCAAGGTTACAAAAGTGCCTTATCAAGGTTACAAAAGTGCTCTATCAAGGTTACAAAAGCGCCCTATCAAGGTTACAAAAGTGCCCTATCAAGGTTACAAAAGTGCCCTATCAAGGTTACAAAAGTGCTCTATCAAGGTTACAAAAGTGCTCTATTCCAACTGTTACTATATGTATTGATATTCCAATCTAAAGCTGAATCTCTGCTCCTTGGCTTTGCTTTAATTAGTGAAGGCAATTATTCAATGCAAATACTGCTAAGGAATTTAAGAAAAATGTTTCCAATATGTGTGACTTAGGATGATAGCTTCTGACTCTGCTAAATTTGTATTAAAATGTTCTTTCAAAGTGTGCGTCTATATAACAAACGTACTTGCAGGGAGGTGAGTCCGGGATTAAACGCACCGAGGGTGGCTGGAAGTTTCCCGAACTTACCGAGCGAAGCGAGGTGAGTTCGGGAAACTTCCAGCCACCCGAGGTGCGTCCAATCCCGGACTCACCGAACCTGCAAGTACGTTTGGTTTTTATCCCATACACCGAGCCATACACACATTTGTAGCTCTTCGCGATATATTCGTCGATATTTTGTGAAAATTTTCCCGGCCAAAAAATCACTGGGCAAGAAAATACTTCTTTATCTACGTCTACATTACCTTTACTGCATTTTTTCTTTGGTTTTTCTTCAGTCTCAGTATGTTAGTCACTGAAAAGTTCTTTAAAGTTTAGGTTTATCGGCTAAATCTTGTCCGCCATATTTGTTATTGTTATTGCAACGTAAGCAGTTTAGCGGGTGAGTTCGGGCGAAAAGCAGGTGAGTTCGAAAAAAGCAGGTGAGCTCGACGACAAGCTCACCTGCTCTAAACCAATCAGAAAGCCGCTTTTAACACAGGTATGGGATAATAATGAAAGCAGACACCAATTGTCTATAGTTATGTTCATTCATAAAGAAATTATGTAACCTTACGAAAATATATAGCCTTCTATTGGTTTCATTCAAATAATTTATATTAATTAAAGTCACCAATGAAAATGTTAAATTCAGAAGTACATAAACATCAACACTTACACTCGATATACACCTACAATGGAACGTGTGGAATAATCATTACTTTGATAGTTTGATAACAGTATCTCAATGCCATTAGTCAATACTTTTCTGCTCAAAAATTGCCAATCATTTCGTTTCCACTGAGTATTAAATTATGAAACCCGGCCTTCAAATGCTTGCCAAAAATACACTATCGGCATTTGCCATATTCAGACTAGTAAAATGACGTTGATTTGACTGCGTTTGATGTATAATTTTAATCGTAAATTCACAAATTTCTCTTTGTTTCACCCATAGAAATATTAGACCTAATATTTCTATGGTTTAGCCTTTAGTAAACCGCCATTTTGGAATTAGTATCATCGCATCATTTCATCTATACGCTTTCGCTGATTGGGTATGAGCACGCTTACAAACTTGCGTTACGCACACGATAGTAATATATCTGCATTCGCAGATACAAAAATCATAATCGTTGTTTTGTGTTTTATAAAAATCGTATATCTTTTGTTTTTCGATAGTGTTATATTTTGGCGGGAAAATGACGTCCCAACTTTGACGCCAAAAAAATAAACAAGAGCTACGAACATGCCAGTATATTTTGTGAAGAGATTGTTCAATATAAATATCTCAAAACATTAAAAATACAACAAGGCAGTGTGAAGATATGGCGATTCAAAGTTCGAAAAAATCTATTTTTAGTAACTCTTTCTCGACAACCTGTCTCGTATTACATTTCGAATTCAATTTTTCTAATATAAATATCTCGGCGAGTATTTACCCCCCTTTTAAATAAATGCCACTATTGAAATCCTCACAATATAACCTTTCGAACGGGGGGTCAAGTGCCGTCAAAACATTACACAAACCGAAACAATCATATATTTTATACTCACTGCTTCGCCAAACATTCAAAGGAGAAAATGAGAAAAAGTTGAATAGATTCTAAACTTTGGTCTCATTTCCTGAAAGGATATGTGTAAAATACTCTTTGTATTCAAGCGCTTTCGTGTAGAAAGTTTCGTATGTATACGCCGACTAGAAATATTTATTTTGAATTTTTAAAGTATCGGGTTTTACTCGCACGTGCTTGTATTACGTAATACTTGGCCAATAAGGAGCTCCCTTTAGCCGCTTTAGCCGGGATGACGTAAACCACGCGTACGGGTCCACTTTGACCTGTATAATCCATTTCTGGCATTTCCAGAGTCACGCGATGCAAGCGTAGCCTTGTTTTGACGGTTTTTCGTCGTATTTCCGGTTGGGATTAACGCATATTCGGAGCAGAAATACAAAATTCGGCACTAAATGTCGAATTTTAAAGATAGAAGCTTGAAAATAACACTATACGTGTTATTTTCAACTTCTTAATCCACCAAGACGATCAGAATGAGCATACGTCTCAATGGAACGAAGTTATATTCGGCGAAAGGTATGTTTATGTTTATAATTTGTCAGTAATATTGCGTAATTCGACCATATACGAGCTCGTTTGACTTTCAAAGCTCATAAATCGCTATAATGTTGCCATTCACTAAATCTATCGATAGGAATGAGTAGCTATCGTTACACTGAATCGAATGGTGGTATTTTGGTCCACGTAGCATTTACCGAACTGAAGATATGAACCACAAAAATGAGTAAATCATGAGTGATTTGTTTAATAGGGACCTGTCGGGAAAGAGTTTAGTAACAAAATGGCGGATTTTTCACATTTTTCAATTAATCTAATTCACATTTTTAAATTAATTTAAATTAATATCTTTGCACTGCTTGGGGGGATTTTCAATATTTTTATAGTTTTCAGATCCTTTCAGAACAATCTCTTCAAAAAAGTAACTAGCATGTTCTTAGTTCGAGTTTAATTTTTTAGCGCCAAAGTTGGTACGTCATTTTCCCGCCAATATGTAACAATATCGAAAAACAAAAACTTGCGATTTTTAAGATTGTCAAGTTCTATTCTGTTAAGTTTTGTGATATTCCGAACTAACAACAAAAAGTTAGTGGACCTTGCCGAATTTGCTGTCTTTTTTTGCCCAACGTGAAAGTGGTGCCCCTTCAATTGCTCATGACAAGTACCGTAACCAATCCAAAGTGTCAAGTGCAATGATTATTGAAAAGCGTAAACACTGCTGGGAAAACATCGGTCGACAATTTTGTCGTCGTCTTGTAGATCTTTGAATGCTGTGTGCCTATTTTATTAGATTTTATGAGTTTTGCTGTTTGAATTGAGAGTGCAACATTGATTGGGGAGGGATGCCGAATTTTATGTGACGACAGACTGTATTGGGTCGTGTTGCAATCCAAAACTGGATGTGTCCCAACAACTTTTGAAAGTGATAGTAGCTACAAGTTCGAATCTGAGAGTATTCTGCCTTTGCGAACAGGTGCCCGAGGAGAGGTATACATTTATTTGAGGTCATTTTTTTTTGTACAAAACTATTCAACTCAATGGACATTGAAGGCTGATTTCAGTCAATTACGTGATAAAAACGTTTGCCAAAAATGTCGGGTAATGAAGGAAGTACTGATCTCAAAGTTCAAACTGGATAGAGCATCTGCTAAAAATCAAGGAGCCAACGACGGCCATATTGATGTGACCCTCGCAAATCTACTGCAGTGTTACTAACATGTTAGATTAGGTTTTGAAAATATTTGCTGATTGGTAGGAATGATAATATATTCCCTGGGGTATTGTTGGTTATTAGTGATCTCTCTTAATTCTGAAATTTGCCAGTAAGGCCATATAAAATAAATTCCTTGATTCTCATCGCTTAATTTTAAAAATTTCCAGAAGGCGGGAGGTTTACATTTTATATTTTATGTCAAAATATAAAAAAAAAGTCTAAAATTTAAAAAATTGGAGAGGGAGGTCTTTTTATATTTGCTCTTAAATATATTATGGAAAAACGCTATATAAGTGGATAATTGCACATGCGCTAATGAACATGCATAAGGGTCCACACAAATCGTTGTAATAAGGCTTATATATAAGCCGTCGGGCGGTGATGAGAATCAAGGAATTTATTTTATATGGCCTAAATCAATGATTAAGTAGGTGTAAACAATATTGTCGCCTCAAGACTCATTGCATTGTCTCGTGATTAAAATGTTCTGATACTAATTAGAAGAGGTGTGGAAAGTTATATCTTTCACGTTGTAGCTGTATCTTTGATGTGTAAAAGAAGATATAAGCTTCATAGTATACTGACTTTGATATATCATAAGGTATGTGAGAAATATGGAAATTTCTCCCAGATAAATAATTAAAAGTTAACTACTGTATTTTGTGCTTCTTTCGTTTATTGTTGAAACCAAATTTGGCGACTCATTCTTTTTGAAAGCATTACTTTACTAGTCTGTTGGTAAATAATGCGTCAGATTTACTAGTCAATTAGCCAATCAGAACACACGAAATTAAGATAATTTGTTATTCAAATTTAAACTAATTTATGAATATTTAACACGTACAGTGGTCTTAAGACAATAAAAGAAAGACCGCATAGTCAGCTAGTTTATTTCAAACGTTGTGATGAATGCCGAACAACAAGCATTTATTGCATTTCAGATCAACTAAAATACAGCGTGTACGTTGTTGATATCAAGAGCACGCAAGAAAAGTATTTTTTTTTCAAACTAGGTAAGTAATTTAGAAATAATACATTGACAATACTACACATACTGTATACAATAATATTCTGAAATAGTTGAGACCTATTAATCATGGCAACATAAATATTCGTCCTGACGGCACATTTCTGAGCGATATAAATGTCAGCTGATGAACAACGTAATAGTAACCACCACGCGGTATTATAGAGGCTCGCATATATAAAGCTCGTATTGTTGTGAACATTGAGATCAAAATTCGCTAAACACAAAATTTTCCTCGTGAACACCGAGCAGCTGATATCAAAAGTTACCCAAGCATTAAGTATCGTATTTGTAAGCAAAATAAGTTATAAGTTAAAATCAGCTTCACGAAAGCACTTTTTGTAGATGCCCATGACCTTGCTGTCAACATTTGTGATTCAAACAATTATTCTGTTTTATTTTTTGCTTTTTTCCCCGATTTTAACACATTCGCTTCTAATGTATTTAAAGGGAAAGTCCCTGACACAACAGGGTGCCAGGAACAGATGTCATTTTTATTTCATGAGCCTCAATGCCAAATTATTTGCTAATGAGAGCGAGGCTCCAAGACCAAAATGTATGTGTCACCACAGTTAATAAGTAATTATCGAAAGGGTGTATCATTCTCCTCGCTATTCCAACATTCTAAAACGATACAAAGTTAATAATTTCAGTACATTTTCAAGCAAGTCTCTGGCATTTGAGTGATTTTTTGCCCTGTACATCCATCATATACGGCAGGTGGTTTGATCATATCGCCACACATAGTTTTTATCATGACAGCTTGGTTTATAGGTGATCACAACAGCTCAGCAAGATTTAAATTTCGTCATTCCAGCACAAGTTGAAATGCATTCATTGTTAATTATATTTTGCAAAGGTTCAAACATCATCGGGCTAAATACCGTAGATAAAAATATTGCTACGCTTGATCCCGAATTTTTACTTGCTCTTAATACGAAACCAATTAACTGCATCTTAAAGCTAGATTACAGTCCATTCTGCGCATGTGCGGGCTTTGTTTACATTTTTTGTTTTGGTTTGGATCCACTTCAATTGTATAATATGAAGTATAGCGGCTATGCACTATATAAATGGAGTCCGAGTCAGGAGTGGAGTTGTTAATTTTTTTAAAATTGTCTTCTGAAAGACAAGCAATTAAATATTTTGAAAGATCATGAATGGAAGATATATTGTTGATCAATTCGGCATTTGTTTTTTGTGTGCCTCGTTGATGAAACATTCAGAAGAGACCGACAAAGCCGACCCAAAGGTGCGAGTCATTGTGTTGATTATATTAATGTTCGGCATTGTAAAATAAACTTTGGAAGTGTCAAAGTAATCACTAATTTTTCCTTGGGGTATTTGTTCGTCAAAACACATTGCCAAAGTCATTGTTGCTGTCGTGGCAGAAGCACTCGGAGAAAGCTTTTCGCTGGAAGAATTGGAAACGATATGTTCATGTCGCGGCTTGCTCCAGCTTCTGTCTTCGATAGAGTATGGGTATTTTTTGCTCAAGCGCGTGCCGCGAAGAGGATTTTGATACATGTATGAACAATCGAAGGACAGATGGTGAGTTTGTATTATTGCTATTAGTTATGTACTGTTCGTTAGAAACGTGCTTCACATGTAATCTTATTGTATTTGTTCATTAGTTTATAACTTTATATATGTTTTGTTAGTTTATACGCAAAAAAGTGTGGCCATTTGAGAATATGTAATGTTGTTCACCGCGATAGTTCACTCAAAGGATAATGATTATCTAACAATAGCTGGGTAAACTTTGTTTACATATTTTGATACTTTGCCTGCCAAAAATATACACAGACTTATATTTCTGAAAGCTTAAAACCACTGGCTTTAACACACGATTTGTTTTATTAAATACCCCACATAATTATGCATATCCTTGCCGGGTAAAATATCAAATTATGTAAAAAGGCTTACCTGTCTATATACAAGTGTACATAGCTGTGAAAATGCAGTAATTTGGTGGTAAGAAATATCTGTGTTTCACTGTGCTTGAGTCTTTGCATTTAATTAATGATAAATATATTCATTTCAGAATCTTGTGGAAGCAATGGATTTAAATGCCCTTTGAAGAGCATTTGCGTTAGAGCTTATACAGCATCAGCCAGCTGCATTTGTCAATTTGGTAAATTGCCAGGTGAACCACTTCAACCAGACCCAGCTACGAAAAACCAGAAAATGCCTCAGAGTATTACAAATGTGGATGCTGTGTTGCAATGCCAACAAAATGGGTAAACAAATGCTGTACACAATCAAGACAGCCTTGCATAACCGCCTAGCCCTCTCTTCCCACAGTGGCACAATTAGTACTTGATGGAAATGTTCGATCTGGACATGGCCATGCATTAGAGAGATCATTGAGGGAAACTTTATTATTCATTAATCCATTTTACTGCAATTATCTCCCCATGACAGGGAGGATAATTTTAAATATTTTGAAAGAACTTGGGTAATTCACACCTGTTAAGGCCCGTTCACACAAGCGATTTTAAACTTTGATTTTCTCCTTTTTTTGGCATTTGTGTTTTAGCAAAATTACAGGAAACATTACTTTGCGTGGCTTTATTATTTACTCTAACACATACACCAAAAGAAGAAAATTGCAGTTCAAAATTGCTTCAAACTTATTATAAGCTTTCTCTGTCTACTAACCACAGCAAATTTTGCTAACAAATGAAAGCCTTTATCATGTTAATGGTTAAATGTTTATGAACAGTAATATTTCATTATATAAAAGACCAGTTATCAAATACATTGGATGTTCAAGCACAACATTTTGTATATTGACATTGATTTTTTTATTCTTTAAAATTACTCCTTGCTCCTTACTTCAGTCCTGAAAAGTGTATTGCTGTGCACCGAAGATCAATGAATCCAATATGGACACCCTGGCTCAGTATTGGGGTCCAGGAGTTTGTAATCAGATTTCCTTCTCCTAGGTGGATTGCCTTTCAGGGATTATGAGCTCCACCTAACAGAGCACTTTGTTTTAACTGGCAGACACTTGTCTACAGTGATCAGTTGAATTTATACTGATGGGTTTCAACAAGTTCTTTGACTGAAGGAGGAGGGACAGGGGTTATGTTAGGAGCAATTTTCCTTCGGTAATCACTTGCAACACCATTCCCCATATCTAAAGAAGACTTACAATTAGTTTTATTCCTGTTTAAATGCTGCTGACCAATGTGTTTTAAAAACACTCAAATGGCTTTTTTCAAGCCACATTTTGATTTTGTTAATGTTTATGCAAATCAAAATTTGGCTTTCCAAAAAGCCTTAAGTGCTCTTAAAACACATCAATCAACATGCCTACAGAATAATCAAAATATTTGTTTGAAAATGTGATATGAAGAATATGGAATTTCATAATGAAAAGTGAAAACTAAAAGTCACTTTTTTTCTCACTAGGATTCAGGAAAGCATAAAATGTTATACATACCTTCATTATAAGTTGTAGGATGTATTCGTACTGCCTAGGAGAATCTTTAAGAATCTTTATATGGCTCCATTGCTGTTTCTTCCCCTTGCTGAACATATACTGGCAATGGCTCATGTCTGCATTGTATTGTTTCATCTGGCTACTGATCCGTCTGGGTTTCCACAGCGCTATAAGTGAACAAAAAAATTTTGTAATGAGGAAATATAACAACATTAACATAACTGAAATATCCAGGGATATGTGTTATGTGCTTACCACAATTAAATCCGTCTTGATGTTTCGTATACAGGCTCGATCAGCATAGTATTCGCGAACCCTCGTCACTTTTAATTCCAGCTTGATGATTTCACCGACCAATAGTATCATTAAAGTACATTTTCGTTGCATACCTTTTCGCGAAATGTTCTTTTCGATTTCCTGGTTGGTTTTGGCGACCAGCATTAGGAGAATTTGCCTTTGAAGTGGACGGCTCTATTATATAACTCTTACGAGTCGGCCATTTTGAGCGCGCATATCCGAATAAGGACTGGAGAGCACACAAAATCAAAACAAGTGTGCTCACATTTGTTTACATTTTTGACACATGCGCAGAAGCGACTGTAATCTAGCTTTAAAATTATTACAAATTGTTTCATCATTTTAGTTGTGAAATTTTGGAGTTTCAAGAGTACAAAATTGTTTAGTGGTAAAAATTAACGATTATTCTAAATTGTAGAATATCGTTACAAAATCGCGAACTCCGGCCCACTAATTCAATCAAGCGTATGTTCTCCCCGAGCTAACGGCGCGGAGCTCCGTTCCGGGCGTAAGCCCGGGGCGAGGGCCCTAATTCCGCCCGGTTATATACACCCGGGGAAAGGAAAGCATTAGGAATGTCTAAAGTTCATCAATGATGGTGGACGTGGGTTACTGTGCGTGGGTGGTAGTATCACTGATCTCAAAATATGTTTGTTTGCCAGGAGTGAAAAAGGCAAAAATATAAACAAAAATATAAGCTTCATCTATTTTTTGCAGGTTTGTACAAAAAATTTAAAAAACAATTATCGTGTTATCATGACTAACATGACGTGACAACGCGAGCTGTTGACATAACTACGAATACTTCATGTTGACAATTCGTTTCTGTAAGAGAAGTATGCGACTTAAATTGGAAGCATAGGTGGAGGCCGAGCAGTGTTACAATAGGTGAGGTATGGAGAGAAATTAATGTGCAGTACAATGACAATGTACTAGAAAATACATGCATGCAGAAACCCCTTGCCTTGCTGATAGAAACCATTGTATTTTCCGAACGTGATATATTTAAAGTTGTTGTCATGGCAACACGATTATTTTGTGAAGAATATTTTTACAAATGAAAAATCCTCTGAAAATATCACTTTTAATTACTAGAAAATCTATGCATGCAGGAATACTTCGCCTTGCTGACAAAACCATCGTATTTTCCGAACGGAACATGAAGTATTTAAAGTAGTTGTAATTACAAAATCATTAATTTCCCAAACATATATGTTAAGTATGTTATTATACGTAATATAAGCTTCAATTTAAG